TTGCAGGTGTGCCCACCCCCCGGGACACACTGCGGCCGCGGGACTCTCCGCCGCGCGCTCGGACCGGGAGGCCGACGGGGCGTCCCGCCGCCAGGCTCTGACTCTTCACAGCAGGACCGCCTCGGCGGGGCCGTGCTCCAGACCGGAGCTGCACCCTACCTTCCAAGCCCAGAGGGCTACGCAACCTTTTCTTTTTTTTTTTTAAGAGCACTTTTAGATTTCCAGAAGAATTGAGAAGGTAGCACAGAGAATTCCCCTATATCTTCGTCTGGCACAGTTTCTCTGTTATTAACATCTTAAGTTAATGGGGTGCATTTGTTATAATTAATGAACCTATTTCGTTATCATGTAGTGATAGATCGTTGTTCCCTGAGGCCCATGCTGTAGTCAGGTTTCCTTAGTTTTCCCCTGATGTCTTTTTTCTGTTGCAGGATACCTTGTTAGGTTCGGTGTCCTGTCTCCTTAGAGTTTGAACTGTGGGCAATTACCAAGCCATCAGTCCAGTGACTGATAGCGGTGGCCTCGGTCCTGCAGTTAAATGTGGAGAATCAAACCAGGCTGAAGAGAGGCTGAGTTCAGGGCTGGTGTTTCTGAAGATGTTGAGGGTGATCTCTGTCCACTGTCGCTGGAAGGAGTGAGGCAGGGCTGCAGCCACCAGGCCTCGCCTTTGAGGGCACTGGTCCTCTTTCTTTCTTTCTCTTTTTCTTTTTCTCTCATTTTGTATTATCTATTCCAAGGTTCTTGTGTGTTTTTCAAAATGGTGAGTTAAATGTACATGACATCACATTAACTATTTGTGAGTGTACAGTTCAGTGACATTAAATACATTCACGATATTGTGCGGCCATCATCACTGTCTACACCCAGATATTTCCATCTTATTTCCCAACAGAACCTCTGTAGCCATTCAACAATACTTCTCCCGTCCCCTATTACCCCAGCCCCTGGCAGCCTCTATCCTGCTTTTTGTCTCTATGAGTTTGCTTGCTCTGGGTACCTCATATAAACCAGGCATGGAAGGACATTTGATTACTCTAGACACTTCATAATAAGTGGGATCATAAAGTATTTGTCTTTTTGTGTTTGGCTTATTTCACTCAGCATAATTTCTCAATGTTAATCCGTGTTGCAGCATGTGTCAGAATTTCCTTTTTAAGGCTGAATAATATTCCTTTGTATGGACAGACCACATTTTCTTTATCTGTTTATCGGTCAACGTACACTTGGGTTGCTTCCACGTTTGGCTATTGGGAATATGCTGCTAAGAACATGGGTGTGCAGATGTTTGTTTCCATTGTTTTGGATATATGGTATGTCTAGGAGTTTGTAAGTCATGTGGTTTATTTAACCTTTTGAGAAATGGCCAAACTGTTGTTCACAGCAGCTAGAGTCTGGGCTTTTATGCCCACTCTTTTTGGGCTTATTCGAGTGAGGCGATCGCCACACCCAGAGGGGCCTGGTGGGCAAGATTCCCTGGACTCAAAGCCTGAACTGACACATCTCCCTCCCTTCGCCAGATCCAGCATGCCTTCCGAGACACCCCAGGCAAAAGAGGAGTCTGCAGGGTGCCCCCACGTCTCAAGGGCACCCTCGGGGAAAGGGAGCCTGGAGAAGGGGCCCCCCAGGGACAAGGAAGCCAAGGAGTGCCTGTGGATCCGGCCTGATGCCCCGAGCAGGTGCACCTGGCAGCTGGGCAGGCCTGTCTCTGACTCCCCGCATCACCACGTGGCCCTGTAAGTCCCTGTTTTTGATGACAAGATGCTGTATCCTTTACCTTGAGGGGAGGTGGGTATTACCTCGGGAACCACGTACCCATGTGGACCTGAGGTGTGATCCCCCTTAGTGTGCTGGGGGTATGGAGCACCTTACAGAGGAGTCAGCAGGCTCAGAGAGGCCAAGGCCTGTTTACTCCGTAGCCCAGCAGCTAGATCAGTGCCCAGCTAGACAACAGCTGCTCAGTGCGACTTTGCTGAATACGTAAATGAATGTGCCAAGTCACAATGCTTTGAGCGATGGGTGGAGGTGTGACTTCTTACCCAGTCCCATCTGGCTGCGCATGCGTCTTCTCAGTGTGGGTCCTGCCCTTGTCTGTTTAGCTCTGGGTCATGAACGCTTCCTTTGCTAGTTAAATGTTTTTCTACAGTGGGCTCATTAAATCTTAAGATTGTTTTTGATTATTTCCTTAGTACATTTCCTTTGACGTAGAACAAGTGGGTCAAACAATATGCTTTTTAGATGTTTGACCCTTACTCCGTGTACATTGCCACCAATGTTTATGGTTATTGACTTAAAAATCAGAATGAGTGAGTGTGAAGGGTTTACTCTTGGTGCACCCCTCAGAGGTGAACATTTGCAAACCCAGAAGCTCCAGCCATGAAGCCTGTCTCAGTGCTGGCAGCTGGGGGGGGAAGGGGGCAAGTGGGCGGGTGGCCAGATGCAGGAGCCACTGTGTGGGTGGGGGCCGTGGGAGGCCGGAGTGTGGCTGCTGAGGGGGCAGGGAGGAGAAAGGTTCCTGAAGGCTCTGTGAGCTTCTAGCTCCAGGGTACGGGAGGAAAAGATGACGCTATGGGGTTGTAGAACAGTGTCACACCTGCACCTCCCACGTGGGCCTGATTCATCCTCCTGAAGCAACCCCCAGGGCTGGCACCTTGGCCTGAGATGCAGGGCCCCATGCCACTTGTCCCAGGTCCTGTGCATAATGAGGAGTCTCGGTGGCTCTTTGGCTAAAGGACAGGGCACCAGGCGAAGGTCCCTAGGAGGGAGCCACAGTCCCTGGGGATGCCTGAAAGTGAGACCACATGGGGGATGAACTGGACAGGGTGGGTGGGGAGAGAGTGCAAGCTGGCGCCCGAATGGCCAGGAGGTGGCAGCCACGTGGATATCTGGGGAGGAGGATTCTAGAGGGTCTGGGGGGATGGGCTGAGAAAGGGGGGCCACAGGGGGTGGGGGCTGCAGAGGGGAGTTTGGGGTTTATTCTGAGATGTGGGGCTGTCCTCCCAGAGGCCTCCTGGGCTGTCAAAGTGAAAGCAGTTGAGACCAGTTGACTCTTGGCCATCACTGTAAATTCTGTCCTTCATCACGTTGAGTCCCAGGCTCCTGTCCTGAATCACGTTGAGTCCCAGGCCCCTGTCCTGATCACCTCTGCAGCCTTCTCAGGTGGCTTTGGGGCAACTCAGGGCCTGGTGCTGAGTCTACCCAACCCCTGCCTGTGGAGGTGGGCCTCATGTCCCCTCTTGTCCGTCCGCAGCCCCTCCCCCACAGGAGGATGCAGGTTTTTACCTATGCCCTTCTAATGACTAACCCCAGCCTGGCCCTCAGGCTTGGCCTCCTGCAGGCCTCCCTCCAAGGCTGGGGTCAGGAGCTCTGCCCTGGCCCAGGTTTTATATCTTCACGTTGCCGAGCCTGGTTCCATTCAACCAGAGACCGATTCAGAGGTGAGCCTTTCCCACCTCTGGCCTGGTTTGGGGCATCTGTTTAGTGCCTCTCTCTGCTTCCTCAGGAGCCAGGCAGGACCTCTCCCCGCCTCCTCGCAGGACGTGATTGTATCCAGCTACCTTGTGCTGGGGTGGCTTCTCCCTTCCTCCCTGAAATGCTCCTCAGGACCGCTGGGGAGCTGGGCCCACCCAGGTCTAAGGATCACCCCCCAAGGGGGCAGGGCCCAAGGATCTCCCTGTTGAGGAGGGCCCTGTGCTGGTGCGGGCCCACTCAAGGTTGAGAACGTGGAGTGGTGAATTAGAAATCCTGGGTGTGGAGACTGTGGCAGGTCTTGGCACCAGGGTGAGTCTGCATATTTCTGAGTAACATTTGATGAGCACATCCTTGGCACAGACAGGGAAAGGGCATGGAACTGGCATCTGCCCCCGAGGGGCAGCACCAGGGCCATTCAGGAAACTGCTGGGTCACGGTTTGCACACACACGAATGCTGCAGAACAGCTCCCTGTGTCACCTGTTACCATCTGTCAGGTGGAAAGGCTGCTGGGGGTAGGGCTGGCATTCGCCCTGACCCCGGGGAAAACGGCCAGTCGCAGTGTGACCTTGCAGCAGCCTCGAGTGCGGCATGTTCCGCCCTGTGTCTGTTGTGGTCCACATGGTGCCAGGCATCTCGGCACGCTCTGTGCAGCCATTGTCACTGGCTGGTGGCCAGAGGTCAGAGGAGCGTCTGCCCTGGGGTCAGCACTTCACTTTTTTGATCAAAGGAGAGAAAAGAGAAGAAGCCTCAGCAGCAGTGAGATGCTGAGAGAGGAACGGAATTGAAATCTCCAGTCAAGACTTTCTAAAAAGACAGACCAGGATCTGTTGTGTTGAAGTTGATGTTTGTTTATTTTAACTTTTTTTATTTGGAAATAATCAAACATTCCCAAGAAGTTGTAAAAATAATAGAGAGGTCCCATGCACCGTTCACCCAGCTGCCCACTGACAACACCTCAGGTGACCGTGGAGCATTTTCAAACCCAGGAAACTGATGCTGGTGCAATACAAGGCACTTCAAGAAATTTTATGCAAGGGCCGGCCCGTGGCTCACTTGGGAGAGTGCAGTGCTGGTAACACCAAGGCCACGGGTTCGGATCCCTCTATAGGGATGGCCAGTTAGCTCACTTGGGAGTGCATGGTGCTGACAACACCAAGTCAAGGGTTAGGATCCCCTTACCGGTCATCTTTAAAAAAACTGTCACCAGATGGACAGCAAGCATTTGTCTCTGTGTCTCGCTCTTTCATGAGGATCTGCAGTTCAGATGTCATGTATGAGATAAAGGATGGAATGCAAAGGGTCTGGTTGGCCTTGTCCTCGGTGAACATGGGTCACCCGAGATCTTACCTAAGCCATGGGGGAAGGATGGTTCTCTGCAGGAAGCTGTCCCCGGGCATAAGAGGGTGGAGAGGGTGGAGGAGAGTCGTGACGGTGGCTCTTCTGCAAGAGCACGGGGCCTGGGTAGACGCCAGCATGCTCACCGAGGAAACGCAGGTGCACAGGCGCTGGGGCGGGGAGCAGATTGTGTGTTCAGGATGACGAGTGGTGCAGTGAGGGTGCAGTCTGAGTAGGGAGGGGAGGAACCCATAACGTGGCTGTGGACGTTTTTACTGTGCAATGCCTGTTAGACAAAGAAGAGGAGATGTCATTGCAGTGGGGACATCACATGAGAGCATTGGCCAAGGAACGCTTGAGGAAGTCAGGGGTGAGCATGGGCAATTGATGGCCTTGTGGGAGCTTTGCCTGCCCCCGCCTCCCAGGGAAGGAATTCTCTAAGTAAGCAACTGCTGACTCCCATGGGTACTTCTGGGGCACGTGGACTGCATCAGAGCAGCCCCCTTCCCAGAGACCCCTAGGCCCAGTAGGGCCTGCTCTGTGCTCGTTTGTCAAATAGAGACCAATAACTGTACTCAGCAGGTGCAGATCTGCATAACCACACTCCACATAGGGCATTTGAACTTGGCAGTAGTCCCTGAAGTAGGTTTAGTACAGAAGGACAAACCAAGGCTCACATTGGTTAGGTGGCCAGCCTGAGGCCATCAGCTGGTCGGCTTTGATCCCTCTTCCCCAGGGGCTAGAGTGATCTACCTGAAGAATTTACAGTGAGGGCCTGGAAGGGTCCTGGGATGCAGGACCATCAAGCCCCCTCCCCACCACACATGGCACCTTTGCCTGTCAGGGTCTGCTTGGTGGTGGCTTTCAGAAACAAGGACAGGCCAGGAGGGAGGCTGTTTGCAGTAGTTGTGGGCCAGTCGTGGGTCCTTCTAGTCATATTTGGTGCAGCCCAATATCTCCCCCTTCTAAAAACTAAATATTTTTAAGAGATGAGGATGGAGGGCAGTCAATAAGAAAAGAACAGCCCAAGTGAAGGCCCTGGCACGGGAAAGAACAGCCCGCTGGCTGCATGTGGGAGGATGGCAGAAGCCCGTTTCACTGGGCGAGGGCGTCCTCCCAGGGGAAGCTGGATGGTGTGAGGCCATCCTGGAGGGTCTGTGAGTCCCCACCAGACAGAGCGGTCGTGTGATCTGGGGTTTCAGGACATCAAGTTGTTGTGGCGTGTGGCCTGCATACCACCCGCTGCATGTCTGCTCATGGTGTCCTGCACTGCCCCAGCGGAAGGCTTTATCTGACTGATGCGTCCCCTGGTGGGGGCTCCTTGGTTGCCTTTTTCTCAATCACTCAGAGTTGTCACTGGTTGCAGGGGTGGGTGGGTTGGGCTGTGGCGTGGGAGAGAGAAGCTCTGATGAGTGAGCGCCGGGGCGGGTGGAGGAGATGGATGGCAAGGTGGCGCTTTCCTGAACCAGCAAACTCAAAGCCTGCCCCAAGTCCTCAGTGTACCAGGTAATGGGGTGGGAGGGGGGAGAGAGACAGGAATCAGCAGGAGGTCGAGGTCTCGCTTTCCTGAACCAGCAAACTCAAAGCCTGCCCCAAGTCCTCGGTGTACCAGGTAATGGGGTGGGAGGGGGGAGAGAGACAGGAATCAGCAGGAGGTCGAGGTCTTTTCCTCTCCCATGATTCATCTCTGCCTCCCAGTGGCAAAGTGCGAGTTCTTCAATGCGGGTGGGAGTGTGAAGGACCGCATCGGTGTACGGATGGTGGAGGACGCTGAGCGGGATGGGACTCTGAAGCCTGGGGACACCATCATCGAGCCAACGTCCGGGAACACGGGTGGGTGCTGGAGCCAGCCAGGAGGGCCTGGGCCTGTGCCAAGCCCATGGCGGGGGATCCTGGAGGGACAGGGCGAGTGCAGCCACATGTGGGTGTGTCCAGCCCAGCCTCTGCCCTTCTGCCGTGGGGGCCTGAGTCCATGGTGTCCTAGGTGACTGCCTGGAGTGCCTGGCACGCAGGGCAAGCTTGTGACCTGTGCTCATGCCACTGGGGATGTTGTGTGCGCGCGCCCGGGACGTGGGGGAGGAATCGGATTTCACATGGTGCATGCGGGCGCTTCCTCTCATGAGCACGCTGCCTTCTTACCTCTGCCCTTGGCATGCTGTCTTCTCACCTCCCATTTGAGGGCAGAAGGGGCTCCGTTGGGCGATTTTGGAATCCTGCAGTACCCTCTCTGCTGGGCCTTCCTGGCTGGGGAACCGGCACTCTGGACTTGTCCCCGGTGTCCCAGGCAGGGCAGGACAGGGTTTGGGGGCATTGGGCACTTTTATCCTCTGCCTGCCACCCTCAGGGATCGGGCTGGCTCTGGCTGCCGCTGTGAAGGGTTATCGCTGTATCATCGTGATGCCAGAGAAGATGAGCACTGAGAAGGTAGGCTGGCGGGGCGGGGTGCTGGCCTGGCCTGGTGGGAAGATGAAGGCCAGGCCTGTCCTTGGTGCAGGTGGATGTCCTGCGGGCCCTGGGCGCCGAGATCGTGAGGACGCCCAGCAACGCCAGGTTTGACTCTCCTGAGTCACACGTGGGGGTAGCGTGGCGGCTGAAGAATGAGATCCCCAATTCCCACATCCTAGACCAGGTGAGGCGCCCGGGCCTGGAGGGGGCTTGTGTTCAGAGGTTTTGCCTAAGCAAGGTGTCTCCTCGGGGGTCTCTGGCAGGAATTTGGTGGTGGTGCTGTGGCTGGAGGGAGGGGTGACAGGACATTGGCACATGGGCTACTGGGTCCTCCAGGGCCTGGCAGAACCAGGGCAGCTTTGGCCCTCTGCTGTCTGTGTGCCCGCTTTGGAGGGCTGGCCGCACCCGGCTCCACTTGGTTCCGTGAGCTGGGTTGGAATACCCTCTCAAGGGGACCCTGGACGCTCTCTACAGGCATAAAACACAAAAACCTTTTCACTGGAAGCTCTTCTGTCTCACTCATTTCATTTCTGGGTTAATCCAGAAATTGCATGTTCTGGACAGCTAGTTTTAATGCTTTGTGTCTGCTGAGGTTCCTAAAATTGCCTGTGTGATCAGCCCCCTGCTCCCTGGGCTGCAGGGTCCTCTCAGGCTCGCACTGAGCTGTTTGCCCGATGCCCCTGTGGCCACTGCTGACTCAGCGTGAGTGACGTGGGTTGCCGCCCTTTGCTCTTTCTCTGCAGTACCGCAACGCCAGCAACCCCCTGACCCACTATGACAGCACCGCCGAGGAGCTCCTACAGCAGTGCGATGGTGCGTCTCTCTGTCCCACACCCCTTGTCCATCCTGATTGCATTTATCACTGGCTGCCTAGGAGTCACTTGCCCTCTCCTTGGTAAACTCCTATTCACTCTTCACTCTTCAAAACCCAGCTCAAATGTCCCTCTCGGTGAAATACTTTCTGGAGCATCCCCTAGAGTGGTTGGTTTCCTCCCTCCTTTGTGCCCTCTTGGCCTCGCCTGCACTTCACATGGAACACCAAACACTCACACTGCATTCGTTTACTCGGCGGTCTCTCTTGAAGACCTGCGGGAGCTGCTAAATGTGGGGACAAGTGTGTCCAGGGTGCAGGTTGATGCTGGGCACCATGGGGCTTCATGTTGATGAGCAGTGATCGGGATCAAGCCTCAACTTGTACACTAAATTCCACATTCAGTCTTTCTCATATCCAGAGCAGGGTTGTGCATTAGCTTACTGTCTGTACAGGCGCGAGGCTCCTTGGAACCTTTCCCACGCACTTGGTGCCAAGGCCCGCTGGCAGTGATGTTTTCCTAAGAGATCCCTTTACACAGAAGTGGCTGGGAAGCTGGCACCCTTGGCTTCCTGTTTGGAATTTGGCGCCAGCCTAGGCGCAGCCTTGCTCCACGCCCAGAGCCAGGCAGTAAAGTCCAGAAACTGGCTCACCCAGCTTTTACGTGTGAGAATTCTGTCCTCAGGCAGAACACTCCTGGCTTCAGAGTTTGCCCACGCACAGACTTGTCTGCCCAATGTCCAAGCTGGCCACACAGAGTGTGAGACCCCAGAGGGTTTCTGAGCTAGCGCCTAAGTGGTTTATTCCATTTCCTCTAAACTCAATTCACTTATTCATCTCCTCCAAAGATCATAATTAAGAGGCTCCCTCTGCTTAGACTCTCCAGCATCCATGTCCTCCCCAGCAGGGATCTGGTCTTCACGCATTCAGCCAAATGGGGACTTCCATGGCTCAGTGTTGCTGAGCAAGGGCCTGATGGGAGCAGGCTGGGCCAGGCCTCTGTGCATGCTTCTCGCAGGCGCAGGACGGGGATGAGGGGCTGTGGGAATTTGAGAATAAGTTTTTCTTGTGAACTTTTCTGATCGCCTGCCTTGTCTCGGGTGGAGTATGTCTTCACTTATTACTACTAAGAGTGGGGCAGGCCTGGTGGTGACCCGAGGATGTTCCTCTGCCAGGGAAGCTGGACATGCTGGTGGCTTCAGTGGGCACAGGTGGCACCATCACGGGCATCGCCAGGAAGTTGAAGGAGAAGTGTCCCGGATGCAGAGTGAGTGGGGCGGGTGGCCACAGACACAGCTGCCAGTGGGCTTGGGCCTACTGGTATTTCTCGCCTGTGGCCTGAGCTGCAGTTGGAGGTGTGGACAGCCCTGTCCTGGGCACTTTGCTCACAGAGTGGTCTCTGCTTCCTGACGTCTGACAGCACTGCTGCCTTCAGGTGCTGCATCTGCACTGCCCTGGGGGTGTCTGCCCAGGTGGTGCCCGCAATTAAAAGAACCCAGCAACTCATGACTAGGATGAGCTGGGGCTGGGGGATCACTTGCTGCCAGTGCCCTACAGGGAGCTTCCTGTGCCATTTGGGGGTGAGGGTTCCATTTGTGTGTCCTCCACGGCCCAGCCCAGAAGCTCTGAGCTCCAGGTCCTGAGTCTGTCCTGCCGGAGGCAAGGCTTCAACTGGGGTTTGAGTGAGTCAGAAAGGGTTCCTGGATTTGGGGTAAAGAGCAGGTCCGAGGAGGGGCTCATAGGAACGCCCAGCTGGTAGTGCCAAGTGCATTTCTCCCTGTGGCTGTTAGCTTGCCCTCCAGGAAGAGATCAGCGCCCAGAGCTACCCCCTTGTCCCTGAAGGCTCCAGCTGCTCACTGCTACCTGCCACCAGGAGGTTTGGCCGGACTATCTGGGGGCCCTGCTCAGAGGAGCCCTCAGAAATCACTCTTCCCAGACCCCTGCCTTCCCGTCTTCATGCCCTGCCTTCACTTCAGATTAGGTTGTTATCGCCTTAATGCTCGGGCAGCCTTTCTGGCTTCCTCCTCCCACCCTAAGGCCCAGGAACAGGATCCACATCTCCAGTCAAACCATGAACAGGCACTTGTTAACGGGGGTATTGGCCACTCCAGTGATAGTTGGACATGTCCAGATGAGGCTTTTGCTGGACTAAAGCCACCCGCTCTGCAGATCATTGGGGTGGATCCCGAAGGCTCCATCCTCGCCGAGCCTGAGGAGCTGAACCAGACAGAGCTGACGGCCTACGAGGTGGAGGGGATTGGCTATGACTTCGTCCCCACGGTGCTGGACAGGACGGTAGGTTGGTGCCAGAGTGCTCCCCCAGCAAGGCGCTGGTGCCAAACTCTTAACCTGTTTCCGTGTCCACGCACCTGGCTGACCATAGGCGCCTGCACTGGCGTGAGCAGTTAAAAAGCAGTCCTGAAGATCACGACAAGGTAAAACGCGGTGTGATGCCCAAGCACATGCCCTGACTTTACTGGGCAAAGATTGAGATGCTGGCAGAGGAGAGGGTACCCCTGGGCAGCCCGGTGAGCAGGGCAAACATGGATGAGTGAGGACCCCAGGGAACTTCTCCTAAATGTCCTAAAGGGTGTCTTTGCTCTGAGGGCTCCAGATGGAGGCAGACACTAAAGGGATGTGTGGCCGGGTGGCAGGGGCTGGCGGGGCAGGTTTGCTATGTGCAAAGTGTGTTGGAACAGGGAAGGGTAGCGAAATCTGGGTCCTAGAAGGTGGAACTGGGGCACACTCCTTGGAGGTCACCACTGCCTGGATGGAGGTCAGCTGTGAGGTGCCCTGCCCACCAAATGCTGCCTGAGCTGATGGCTGTGGCCCGGTCTCACCGCAGGTGGTGGACAAGTGGTTCAAGAGCAATGACAAGGAGTCCTTCGCCTTCGCCCGCATGCTCATCGCGCAGGAGGGGCTGCTGTGCGGTGAGTGGGCCTGCGGGTGGGGTGTGGGGCCAGCGTGCCCCTGCCAACTTCCAGTGCGGGCACGTGAGACACAGTCATCCTGAGGCTGCGTGACAGCTTGGCCGCACTTCTTGGGTGGTGCCATTTGCTTAGCCAGGCCCTTTGCTAGGTCATCCTGCTTGTTCTCGCCATGGCCTGGTGGGGTCAGCTATACAGGTGAGGGCTGGAGGCCGAGGTGTCAGGAATTCGAGCAGCTCTTCCAGAGTGTTTTTAGGGCAAAGCCAAACTCTTGCAACACTTATTTTTTCCAATCAGGGTCAACCTTGTGCTTGGGAGGTGGCTGGGGGGGCCATGGGTCCTCATTGGCAGAGGTCCAAGGCCAGAAGAGAGCACTCTGAATGCCCCGGAGAAGCTGGAGAGGGTCTGTCCCTCCAGCCTGGTCTGGCCAAGCAAGACAGTGCAGCACTTCTCGTCAGCTCTGTTCTCTGTGCAGTGAGGCCCATCCAGGATGGGCCCTGCTGGCCGTCCTTTTATCCCTGGACCCTTGGCCTGCCTGGCTCGGGGTGGGCAGAGCAGGCGTCCCGGCCGAGGAGTGCACTGACCCAGGGCAGCCAAGGCCCCAGGGGGGCAGCTGCTGATTTAGACCTCAGGGGACTTAGAGAACACACTCTGAGCACCCCTCTAACACCCATGCAGGGACATGTGGTCATTTAAACGTGCCTTCCTAGGGCTGGCCTGTGGCTCACTTGGGAGAGTGTGGTGCTGATAACACCAAGGCCAAAGGTTCAGATCCCTATATAGGAACAGGCGGTTCGCTCACTTTTGAGTGTGGGGGTGACAATACCAAGTCAAGGGTTAAGATCCCCTTCCCGGTCATCTTTTTAAGAAAAAATAAATAAATAAACATGCCTTTCTTCTGTCCTGTCACTTTGGGGGTGGGGATGGGAAGTAGAAAGGCACCAGCCCTCAGTGTGGCCAGGCCCCCAACAGCCCCAACCTAGAGCTTGGGAGCAAGACCCTTGTGAATAAAAGAAAATTTCCAAAATGATGTAGTTGTGGAAAAGTGACTTGGTTCCTCATAATCTCTGGACAGTGGGCACTTTCCCATTCTCCATTTTCAGTGGAAACACAGGCCTGAACCACTGGGGCTGGGAAGCAGATGGCTATGATCATGTTAGAGGAACGGCCCTCTCCTGCAGGGAGCACGTGGTGGATAGTTAAGACTTCCTGACCCCTGGTGCCTCCTGACACTGAGCCCGGACGAACCATGACTGGAGAGGCAGCTGCAGCCACTGCTGGCTCTGACTCGGGGCTCCTAGGGCTGGGGATAGATGGTGTCACTGTGAACCTTGGTCTCTTGATTATAAAGTGGGACCCGGTGTCACCTGCCATGTGGGCGGTTGTGGGCAGTTGGTGAGACCACAGGCCTCGTGCAGGGGGCTCCGTCTGCATGGACGTTCCTGACGTCAGTTCAGGGCTGGGGCACTGCTTGGGGCCCAAGCCCTGCCATGGGTATTTCCCTGGCACCAGCCCGGGCCCTGGCCGAGTAAGAACCCCACTTGCTGCAGGTGTTTCCTTGGCGAGGGTTTAGTTCTAAAGAAGCCTGCGGCTGTGAAAACCCCATGGGGCGTGAGGAGGAGGGTGGCACACAGTGAGGAGGGGCGGGTGCCCCCTTGCCCGGCCAGCTCATCCGCCCAGAGGCAGCTGCCGCTGCCGCTTCCCCACGGCTCCCTCACTGCGTTGGGGCGTGCAGGCGTGTGCACACTCATGTACTCGTGCACGCTCATGCACCAGCGGGTCTGTCTTGGCAGGTGGCAGCTCCGGCAGCGTGATGGCAGTGGCCGTGAGGGCCGCCCAGGAGCTGCAGGAGGGTCAGCGCTGCGTGGTCATTCTGCCTGACTCAGTGCGGAACTACATGTAAGAAGCACTGCCTCTTCCTCCGGGTCCTGTTCCTCTCCGTCCTGTTGCTGCTCCCCAGACGATGTCATCGCCTCACCTAAGTGCTCACGAAAGAAGCTGGGAGGGGTGGGGCCAGTGGGGTCCCTGTGGGCTTCACCTCTGCTCCCTTGGCCTTCAGGGTCCCCCATGTCTCGGCGGCTCTTGTTTTCTTGGCCTGCCCTGACTCCATGTCAATCTTCTAGACATGTTTAAAATTGGTGCCTGTTCACGGGCAGCTCTGTGCCCTCCGGCAGCCCTTCCTGTGCGCTGCTCTGGTGTTTGCCTGTCGCTCCTGTGAGGTTTCTGGGTGTGAAGGGCCAGCCACGCCACATGGACCTGTGTCCTCAAGGGACGGGCCCTGCAGTGCCTCCCACTCGCTTAGTCACTTTACCTGTCCCTGGGGAGCGTGGACTGGGGTGCCCTGGTTGGGCTCTGGTGCCCCTTAGGACTTGCCGGCGGCCTCTAGGGTCCCTTGGGCACTGATGTCTGCATGCACAGGATGATGGAGCTGGGAGCCTGCAGCTTTGAATTCCTCCCTGCAGGGCTGATGCCTCTTGGGTTCACCCGCTGAGAGTGTGAGGGAGGCTGCTCTGCACCAGGCTTCACAGGGCCACAGGGTGCACACACCCGAAGACCCCCACGTGTCTTCCCCCAGTACCCACAGGGCTTCCTCCATGGCTGGGGTCACGCATCTCCTGTGAGCTCAGCTGCCTCTGATTGGCCAGGCCTGGTTGTGGGGTGCTCCCAGTTGGGTTTCTAGCTGTGGGATGACGGACGTCTGGGTGCCCACTCCACGTTGCCCCGAGCAGGGCCCTGCCCGCCCTCAGCAGCACGTGAGAAAGCCCACCTGCTGGTATCCCCGACTGGCCTGCTGTGTGCACATATGTGTGTAGGTGTGTGTGAGGCAGAAAGTACAAGAGGATGTGTTTGTGTGGTATGTAGGGAGTGTGAGAGACGGACTGTGTGTGTGCATGTGTGCACACATGCACGTGTGTTTGTGCTGGCTGTAGGGGGCAGCAGGTCACCTCTGCTCCCCACTTCATTGGTCTTTATCCTGCCTTTTGAAAACAGGTTCCTCACAGTCCCACCAGCCCGCTGTGGTGCCCTTTGGCTCTGGGTGGGACTGGCTTGCTCTTCCAGTTCAGACTCGGGGATGGCCAGGGCAGAGGCCACCCCAGGGCCCACAGGGGGACTTGATCACAAAGGTTCCCACAAAGGATCTCGTCCTGGGCACTGAGGTCACTCAGCCCCAGGCACGTGTAGGCTGTTGACCAAATGCCTTCTTGGGAACTTAATGATGTCCATTCCCCAGGCCTTCCCCAGAGCCTCTGGCCAGCCACTTGGGGTCTCTGCTAGACTGGTGGGTTCCAGGAGTGGGATGCTGGGCTTTCTCAGAACCATGTACCCATGTATGCAGCGTGTGCCCTTTCGCATAGGCAGAGGTGCCCCCTGGGACCCTCATCTGGCCTCGGTGACTTCCTCATCCCCGTAGGTCCAAGTTCCTGAGTGACAAGTGGATGCTGCAGAAGGGCTTCATGAAGGACGATGACCTTACGGTGAAGAAGCCATGGTAAGGATGCCTCTGAGCAGAGGCACGTGTTCCTGGTACCGGGGCACCATGCTCTGTGCCATGCCTGGCTGGTGACAGGCAGGAGAGGTGTGTCCCCATAGTCTCCTGCTGTGATGATGCCCTGGTTGTGAGAGCATCTGCCCTCGGCTCTGACCTCCCGCCTCCCCTGTTCACAGTCCCCTGCCCTGCCCTCTTCCCTCAGGTGGTGGCACCTCCGAGTTCAGGAGCTGAGCTTGTCGGCTCCGCTGACCGTGCTGCCGACGGTCACTTGTGAGCACACCATCGAGATCCTCCGTGAGAAGGGCTTCGACCAGGCGCCTGTGGTCAATGAGTCAGGGTCAGTCTCAGTGCCCCTGCCCCCCACCCAGCCCCCTGCCAGGAGCCCGTGTCCCTCGCTTCTCCATGTCCGTGTCACTGGACAGGGCAGTCATGTGGACCCACAGCTGACAGTCTGACCTGGGTCATGTTGCATGTGTCCAGAGTACTGAACTTGTCCCTGAGCAATGGCTGGGGCAGGGCACTGGCCACATGAACTCTTAGGGCCCTGACGCCTCTGTCCCACCCCCACTTCACTCTCAGTGTGTGCAAGCCCGTCTTGGGCCCCCTCCTGGAAGGCAGGTGTTAGACACCCTGAAGACATGTCTGACAGTGGAAGGAAGTCCATGCAGACATGCCCAGGTGACCAACTGTCCCACTTCTAACACTGAGAGTCCCACATTTCAGGACCCCAGTGGTTGGTTACCTCCAACGCCTGGCAGGTAGAAATATCTGAGGCCTGTTCCCTGCTGTGTTCCTGCCACATGTAGGCACTTGGCAAATATTTGATGGATTCTAAGAGTAACTCCCTGTTTGGCCAGAGGCCACACTCTGACCCTGAGGGCAGCTGTGGGCGTATTCTGCTGTCTTGGGGAGGGGGCCATTGTGAGCACTGACCCCTGCATCCCCACCATCCTCTGCTTCCCTCAGGGTGGTCCTGGGGATGGTGACACTTGGGAACATGCTGTCATCCCTGCTTGCTGGGAAGTTGCATCCATCAGACCAGGTCCACAAAGTCATCTACAAGCAATTCAAACAGGTAGGAGCTCTGTCTCGCTAGAGCAGCAGGTGCCTGAGGCCTGGCTTGGTCCTGGAAGGCAGAGCGCACGAATCTTGTGCCAGGTCCCTGGCCCTATGCCCTGCTCCCGGTGTCGGCTTCCCACAGGGAGTAGTCCCGGTGAGGGAAGGCTCTCGTCAGTGCGGCTCGCGGACCTCCCCCAGCAACCATAGCTCTGCTGGTGAGGCATCTGCAGGGGTGCTGTTGTCATCACGCCCGGCCCTAAAGTATTCCTGGGCATGCGTTCATTCAGTGATACCTGGAGTGCTTAGTTGTCTAATGTGAACGAGGACATCCTGGGAGAAGTCCCCGTGTGGCCCCTGCTGTCCTGAGATATCCCATCACCCTCTGCTTCCCTGAGGGGTGGGGTCCCCATGGCTTCTGCGTGGCCCTGAGCAGCGCCTGACCTTTCCCAGGCAGCGGAGCGGGGGAAACACCAGAAAGGCTGCAGGATTCTGCCCAGGTCTGGGAAGGGACTTACCGTTTCTCTTTCCCCATCTCACGCACACCCGAAACATCACCAGAAGCCACACACCGCTTGCACTCCACTGCCTCTCAGCTGCTCCCTGCCGAGGCCTACCTGCCTCCAACTCCCACAAAACACCTGCGCGGGCTGTCCCTCCCAGCTGAACCCAGCCCACTACCAGCGAAGCCCCCCCCCACTGTCCCCACTCCGCCCTCATCTGCCTGGAGTGCCTGCCTGCCTCTTGCCTCCTAACCCCTGGAACCACTGATGTTTCACTAGTTTTGCCTTGAACAGAATGTCACTGAGCTGGGCCCGTACAGCACATGGCCTTTTCAGCCTGGCTCTTGCACACAGCAGTATGCATTTAAGTCTCCTCCGCGCTCACAGAAGTGTCCTTATGTGTGTGTTACCCTCTGTTTCCTGCCTTGGAATCCCTCTGGAGTGATGCTGGGCCCTTCCTATTGCCCGTGTTCCTTCTCGCGGAGGGTCCAGCGGGTGGTGGGGGCAGCAGCCTTCAAGCTTGGGCAAGGCCGACTGTGCTTCTCTTCCAGATTTGCCTGACGGACACGCTGGGCAAGCTCTCGCACATCCTGGAGATGGACCACTTCGCCCTGGTAGTCCACGAGCAGATCCAGTGTAAGTGGCTTCCCTGCAGCACAGGTACTCGCTGGGGCATGGCCACTGAGCCTGGGACATAGCCTTGCTGCACAAGTGGCCACGGTGTGCTGCCTGCACGGGCAGCAGCCAGGCTCTCTGTCCCTCGCAAGGCACTTGGGGAGTAGGTGGTACTCACTTCACACCCCCAGCCTCCGATGCCCCGAGCCTCCCCACACCCCAGGCTCATGGGCCCCCACCGAGCCTGTGATGAGTGCGGGGCAGGCCCTGCCCAGTGAGCCCTCAGGCCACAGCGGGCGGGAGCTCCTTGTCCAGAGTGCACAGGCTCAGGCGTTCGGCGTCCTTAGCCTCCCAGGAGGCGGGCATTGTTGGGGACTCTAAGGCACAACCCCAGAAAAGCTTCGACCCTCTGTGCTCCACATCGCCTTGGAGAGGCTGCATTCACTTCAACAGCCTCCTGGCCCTCAGGGGGTTCTCTGAGGGGAAGCCGCCCCCCGTGTGGACGGATATCGAGGGACCCCTTTCATGGGCCGCACCTCAGCACCCTGCTCCCAGTGAGCTCACAGGGCCTTGTAACTCCTGGTCACAAAGCTTCTTCCTGGGCACCTTGACTGCATCTCCACAGGCCAGGAGACTTGTTCTGGGTGAGGAGCAAGGGTCACAGGTTTCAGTCCCTGCCCCTGGGCGCACAAGAACTGGGAGCAGCCCTGGAACTTGATCCTCAAAGGCTGCCCACCAGGCTGGTCTGTGTGCCATGAGTGGGTGAGCTCAGCCCAGCTGAGGACCCGTCAATGAGGGCCTGGGGGATCTCATGTCTAATCCCCTCTCCTGTCCTTGGCTCTGCAGCACGGGACCAGGCCTGGTCAGGAGAGGTGGGGGGGCATGCAGGTATGTACACCCCGCCCATCCCACCTCCTTCAGAAATGGCTCTTGTGGTCAGAATTGTAGCCTCCCAAGGGTCCTGGACCCCCGAGCTAGGGTGGGAGGGTTTCTCCTGTGAGTATATTTATTAGTACGAGGTACTTCAAAAAGTTCATGGAAAAATAGAAAGATAATACGAATCTTTCCATGAACTTTTTGAAGCACTTGAACATCTCAAAAAAAAAAATTATGCAGACCCCGTTTCATAGCCCATAAGTAAAGTTTTATTGGAACACCAGCCATGCTTGCCACCTCCTGTCGTGGCTGCTTTTGAGCTGTGTCAGCAGAGCTGAGTAGTTGTAAGTAGACTGTTTGGCCCTTGAGACCTGAAGTATTCACCACCGGGTCCTTTATGGGAAGTCTGCCACTGCTGGCTCTGGGTCAGTGTCTTAGGCAGCCTGTGTCACTAAGTGGGGTATGCAGAGCGAAAGCAGCCCTGCACAAGCTTCTTGGTAGCTGTCCCTTTCCAAAACGCAGGTAGTTGATCTCTTTGGGGTTCTGTTTTTTCTTGAGGCTCCAAGTTCCTTCTGTGTCTCTCCCCATTCCAAGGGACCTCTGCCCACAAAGACGGGAGAGACAGAGCCATGATGGTGTAGAAAACGGGTGGGCCCGGACATTTCTCACCCACTCCTGCTCAGCCTCCGTGTGCCTCATGAGTAATAGGACCAGTGGTACGTGCACAGAGAGAGGTTGTGAGGCATTGGCTCACGTGACTGTGGAGGCTGGCAGGTCCCAAGAGCTGCAGGGTGAGCTGCAGGCTGGAAACTCAGGAGAGCTGATGTTTCAGTTCAGGCCCAGAAGCAGGCAAATCCCCTTTTACTCAGGGGAGGGTCAGCCCTCTTTGTTCTATTAGGCCTTCTGCTGGCTGGATGAGGCCCACCCACATCGTGGAGGGCCATCTGCTTTGCTGTCTACTGATGCAAATGCTAATCTCATCCAGATACATCCACCCACACACCTAGAATCATGTTTGACCAAATTCTGGGCTCCCTGTGGGCCACTGCAGCTGACATGTTAAAACTGAGCATCACCACAGTGCATCTGCCTGCTGGCTGTGCCATGGGGGGCCTGTGTTGGTTCTGAACCTGAGGCTGCCACGGGAAGGAGTGGGTTTGGAGGTGGGAGCTGTGTGTCGCTCGTGGGTGTGAACTGGGTTGGAATTTCATGCCAAGACTCCTTGGGCACGGAGGAAGAAGAGGGCAAGGCCTGTTGTGGTGTCTGGCCAGCGGGCAGGGGCTCAGAGAAGTGGCACCTCCCCAGCTGTTTATTTTGTGGAGCCTGGTCTGGAGCTGCTCTCTGCAGCTTCGCCCATGTGGCTCACGCCGGAGGATGACAGTGTTTGATCAGTTGTTGGGCTTCCTTGCCTGTTGCACGGCCATCAGGCACTACGGGGGGTGGGGAGGGTGGTTCGGGGGACTACTCTGCCTGGGACTGGCCCCGTGGCTAGTAGGTGCCTTTAAACCTGCTGCCTCGTCTTCCTCTCCCCCTCAGACCAAAGCAATGGGAAGTCCAGTAAGCGGCAGATGGTGTTCGGGGTCGTCACCGCCATTGACTTGCTGAACTTCGTGGCCACCCGGGAGCGGGACAGGAAGTGAAGCCTGGAAGTGCTGGGGCAGCGGTGGAGCCCACTCCCCACTCTTCCTGCCTGGGGGCCATTCTCTTTTTCCTTTGTAAACACTAAACAAACCCATGTGATTTTTAATTGCCTGACGCTGGGCATCGCTTCAGCCCTGACAGGTAGCCAGGAGCAGGGTGAGGTACCTGGGGCCAGCATGACTCTTACAGTTTTCCTTTCATTAACTCTTGGCTACCTAGACGAATCTTCCCGTCCCCCTTGGCACCCACTAATCTTTCTGTTTCTATGGATTTACCAGTTCTGGACATTTCATATAAATGGAATCACACAGTCTTTGGCCTCATGTGTTTGGCTTATTTCACTGAGCATGATGTTTCAAGGTTCATCCATGTTGTAGTATGTGTCAATACTTCATTTTTATGGCGGAAGCTATTGTGAATGTTGCTGCTGTGAACACTCATGCACAAGGATTTGTTTGAACTCCTATTTCCATTTTTCTTGGGTGTACACCTAGGAGGGAAACTGCCGGGTCTTGTGCTAATTCTGTGTTTAATTTTTTGAGGAAATGTCAAACTGTGTTCAACAATGCACAAGGATTCTAATCTCTCCACATCCTTACCAACATGTGTTTTTAATTTTTTTTTTTTTTACAGCCATGCTAGTGTGTGTGAAGTAGTATCTTGTGGCTTTGATTTGCATTTATCTAATAACTGATGATGTTGAGCATCTTTTCATGTGTCTTGGTCATTTGTGTATCTTTGGAAAAAGTTCTTTACCAATTTGGGGTTGCCTTTTTGTTGAGTTGTAGGCATTCTTTATATATTCTACATACTAAACCTTATCAGATGTATGATTGGCAAATATTTTCTCCCATTTTGTAGATTTTTTCACTTTCTTGGTAATCTTTGATGTACAAGTTTTTAATTTTAGCGAAGTCAAAATTTTTCTTTTTTTTTTTCTCTTGTTGCTCATGTTTTTGGTGTTATATCCATCGCCAAAGCCAAAGTCATGAAAATTTGTCCCTATGTTTTCTTCTAGGAGTTGCATAGATCTAGCTCACTGATCTGTTCTGAGTTAGTTTTAGTATGTATGTGACATGGGAGGCAACACTGTCCTTTTGCATGTGGATGTCCACTTGTCTCAGCAGCACTTATTGAAGAGACTACTCTCTCCCCATTGAATGGCCTTGGCACCCTTGTCAAAAGTCAGTTGGTGGGGCTGGCCAGTTAACTCACTTGGGAGAGCATGGAGAGACACCAAAGTCAAAGGTTCAGATTCTTGTACCAGCCAGCACGCCCCCCCCCCCAAAAAAAAAAAAAAAATTGGCCATGGATATACAAGTTCATTTCTGGATTCTCAGTTTTCCTCCACTGTATATGTCTAGCCTTCTGGTACCATGCTGCTTTGACTATTGTAGCTTTGTAGTAAGTTTGAAACTGGCAAGTGTGAGTCCTCCAGTTTTGTTCTTTTTCAGTATTGTTTCAGAAATTATTATGTATCCTAATGTATCTGTCTCCATGTTTCTTATACTTGGGATACTTTGAACTTCTTGGATTCCAACATGTGACTATTAAGAGTTCCAAAAAGAAAAAAATAGGGAAGGAAATCAATCACTAATTAAATAATTCACAAAACTGCCTCAGAACTGAAAGACATGACTTTGCAGGCTGAGAGGCCTACCCAGTTCCCAGCACAATTGATGGAGTAAGATACACACAGAGAACATCCTCATGAAAAGTTCGGTCGCTCAGGATGCAAAGGCCTTACAAACTTCCTGAAAGAGATGGGGAAACCCCGCTCATGCAGGAAGGCCTGGAAAGAGAAAGGCATCCAACTTCTCAGCCTCCAGCGTACTCGGAGGCTAGGAGGCAAGGGACAGATGCCTGACAAGAAAGGTGCAGGCCAGAGGCCGAGATGCAGGCACACTCACTGAACAGTGGAGGTGGGAGACACATTTCCATCCACACTGAATGGCCTCCTTGCCCAGGAATGCACAGTATGAGAGGTGCCCCCAGGATGATGGGGAGGGAGATCAGTGGGCCTGGCAGCCACGGATCGCAGCAGGACAGAGGCCTTGACTGTCTCCCTCCAGCTCCTTCCGCCACCTCTTCTAGGAAGAGCCTGTTGCTGCATAGTGGCTTTCTTTCTCTCAGCATCCTGCCGTCATTTATGGCACCCCTGGTAGGAGCTGAGTATGTCTTTGGAAACAACTGTTCCCTTAGCCGTGAACTATTTGTCTCAGAGATTGAGGCTTGTAGTGGATTGACTTATGTCCCCCCAAAACTCAGTGGAACTTGAACTGTGTCCACCAGGTTTTATGTATTAGAAACGTGGCCCCCACTGTGCCTGTTAAGAGAGTGGGAAATCCTATTATGATGATTGAAAGGTGGAGCCTTGAAAAGGTGATTAGGTTATAGGACCATGCAGGAACGAATGGGTTAAAAATGGTGGTCAGGGGTGTGGTTCTGAGGGCTTTAAAAAAAGAGGAGAGTCTGTCTTACTCTCTCTGCTTCCACCATCTTGCAATGTGAGACTCCTGGGTCATTGTCACCACCACTAATAGATGGACTTTGGACTTCCCAGCCTCAGAAACTATAAGCAATAAATTTCATTTTCTTTATAAATCACCCAGTTCCAGCTATTTTGTTATAGGCAACATAAACAGACTAATACAAGGCTGTTAGGAGGTGTCCCACGGGCAGAGCAGGCCTGGCCTGGAGGCCCTGCTGAACCCAGCAGCCCTGAGGGCGTGCTGCCAAACCTCTGTGGGTGCTGCAGAGGCCCCTGCCAGCAGTTCCCAGCCTCCTGCAGGGCAGCAGCAGGAAGGCCGGTGTCTCCCTGCATCTATGGAAGAGTCATTGCCCCAAGTTGAGGCTTCCCAAACCAGGGTCTGAGGTGGTCGGGGGGAGGTGTCAAGACTGCAAAGGCGATGAAAAATGTGCTGTGTCTTGCTGGGGGGTTAATTTTATGTGGCAATTTGGCTCAGGGTGCAGGATTTTTCTTGAAATATGTTTTCAATAGAATGGTTGCAGGCTGAATAATGGCCCCCCGGAAGGTATAAGGTCCTAATCCCTGGAACCTGTGAATATGACCTAGATGAGTCTTTGCTGGTGTGATTAAGTTAAGGCTCTTGAGATGGGGAGACTCTCTTGATCACCCAGATGGGATCTAAATGCCCTCTGCTTCGTTCGTCCTCTGTTATCCTGGAGATAGCCACGTGGCTCACGCCTGTATTGATTTCCTTGGCTGCCGTGACAAAGTACCACCAACGGGGTAGTTACTTTTTTTTTTTAAGCATTTTCTAAAGTGGGATTCAAACAAACTGGGTGGTTAAACAACAGGAATTTATTGTCTCACAGTTCTGGAGACCAGAAGACCAAGGCGGAGGTGTCAGCAGGGCTGATTCCTTCTGAGGTGGTGAGGGGATCTGCTCAGGGTTCTCCCAGCTTCTGGAGGGTTGCTGGAGATCTTCAGCATTTCCTGGCTCGGGGAAGAACCATCTCCATCTCTGCTTTCACTGTCACATGGTGTCCCTCTGCATTCATCTGTGTCTAAATGACTCCTTTTTTAAGGACACCAGTCAGATCAGATTAGGACCCACCGTGATTACTTCATTTAACATTAATCACCTCTTTAAAGGTCCTGTCTCCAGATAAGGTCACATTCTGAGGTACTGGGGGTTAGGACTTCAACATATGAATTTGGGAGGGGGACACAACTCAGCCCATAGCACCCCACACAGTATGAAAGTTCCTGTTGCTGAGCAGCTCCCCAACGTGGGGACTTGTTAGACTGACAAATGTTGAATACTGGAGAAAGCTGAAATCCTGAACCCAGTTTGATTTAGATTTGAATCTTGTCACTTATCAGGGGTTTCTTGGGCAAGTTGCCCCAACTTCCATGTCTACAAGATGTAGATGAGATCTACCTGACAGTATTTAGAATCAGGACCGCCCCATGACAGGTCTTGACAACTGGTAATGTGACTGTCATTCTTCTGTATTTCTCTTCCTGTCTGCCTCTTGTCCCAGGCACCGCTTCGTAGAACCCACACGTGTGTGCATAGTTGTTGTTTCCTGGGCCCTACACACCGTTCAGACTTACAGCAACCACCACTACGCAATTGGACCAAATTCACCTCTGCAGGGAGCAGTTCCAAAGGCTTGTTATTTGAGGACGCTTTAAAAAAAAATCTACTGAACCTGAGATTTCATAGTATCTCTTCCTAAGATGGTTTAATATGTTCACCTCCCCCACCCATTATTAAGAAATGGGAACCCAGGGACCCAGACTGTCTCAAACCAATCATTATGGACTAAGTTCTTTCAAAAGCAGTTTGGAAATGTGATAATTAGTTAAGAGTAGTAACTTCCATTTGTGTGGAGCCATTGCTTCCAAATACTGTTCCTCCAAACAAAAAAAAGTCTAAGAGGTAAACCACATGTGGTGGAAAGAGGTCTGTGGCCAACTAAGCTTTCCAAGCACTGGATGAAACAAAAGTTAGGTCTGTTTTTGCAGGACTTCTCAGAGCCTTCAGTGTGCCAGTGAGCTTCATGACTCTGTATCAGTCACAATTTCATTGTGCTGCAAGTGACAGAAAACCCCAGATGACAATGGCTTCCTTCATTAAAGATGTTTATTCCTCTCTCAGTGGGTCACAGCCCAGAGGTCAGCATGTCAGAGCTGATACAGCAGCTCCATCAGCAGCAGAAAGAAACCTAAGCCGTTTCTACCTTGCTGCTGCTCTATCTTCAACACATGGCTTCTACCTCATGATCCAAGGTGGCTGCATGAGCACCAGCCATTATATCTACATTCCAGTGGGCAGGGAGGAAGAAGGGATAAAGACAAGTGAGCCCCCCATGTGGACACTTCCTGAAGTCACACACAATACTTCACTGAGGTCCCACTGGCCAATCTGACTGCCGGCCACACAGTGACTGAGTGAATTTGAAAAACAGCAATGCTCTGCGGGATGCAGCCTTGAGTGCACACAGCTTGGCAAGCCGACACTTCCTTTGGGCAAATTAGAAAAACAGTCAATCAGCCCATCACTGTCCTTTCTCCAGGTGGGCCCAGGTGCAGCCCTGTCTGTGCTGGGACCGCCTGGGTGAATAGAGCTCAGCCTGGATTTCAGCCTAAAGCTGCCCTGCCTGCTTCACACGTTGCCCTGGGCACAACCTAAATTAGCACAGGCAGCTGCCCTGGCCACTGGCCTGAACTCAGGGATGGGGCCACACCGAGTCAGAGGTGGACAGGATGAATGCCATTTTGTGCCCCACTCGCCAGTATGACTTGTGTTTAACCTCATTCGTTTGTCTCGCTGTCCAGTT